ACTTAAATTATTTGCAGATGACACGACATTGATTTATTTCTCTAAAGATTCAAATAATATTATCATGGACATGAAAAGTGATTTAGAGAAAATATCCTCTTGGTTACAAGTTCATAAACTATCTCTCAATTATAGCAAATCCTCATATATGTACATAGCAAAAAGAACATTGAACATTTCAAATAGAACACTATCCTTCAACAATAAACTCATCAAATATACAGATGTTACAAAATTTTTAGGTCTTTATATTGATGAAAGACTATTGTGGAATAAACATATAGATCATTTGAGGAACAAACTTAATCCTATTACAGGCATTTTATTCAAAATACGAAATTTCATTTCTACCAGATACTTGAAGAGTATTTATTTCTCTCTTATTTACTCAAAATTTCAATACCTAATATCTATATGGGGAAGTACCAATATTTCACGTTTGAGTCCACTAATGAAATTACAAAATAAAACATTGAAGTGTATTTTCAATTTAAATTTTCTCGAACCAACCATGAATTTATACAAACCTAGAGATTTATTAGATCTGACATCGCTATATATACTTAAAATTTGTTGTTTTATTCAATTTGTCCTATATAAATTGAAAATTTCGAATTTAAATTTCAATGAAATCAATTCATTACATAATCATGGAACAAGACAATCAAATTTACTAATAGCAAATACGTTCAAGTCAAATATTGGCAAACAATCAATTTTTCACACAGGAATCGTTCTATACAACTCATTACCAAGTCATTTGAGGAATATACAGGAAGCAACTAGATTCAAAATTAACTTAAAAAAATATCTGCTTCAGAGACTTTGATAATTCCATCTCTTTCACACAACCATGTCTTATTTTTGCGATTCTTTTGCTGCATTGCCAAGTTTATTAGAATTATCTGGAAACATTATAATACACAGCAGTTGCTTTTAATATGCCTGATGACCTTTGTTTTCAAAATTTCGACTATCGCTTCAATGACGTCCTAATCGAAAGTCATATTACAGGGTTATTTATAATGATCATATTTTGTTATTTCAAATAAAACACCCTGTATATTTCATTCTATTTCGTCTGATGTCATATCTCCTTTATCAGTGGTCTGTTTTGCTAGAGATATAAACCTTTCTATGAATTTTTCTTTTTATATCATACTAAACTGATCGTTTCGATAATCATGCTGTTATGCGGATTCTAACATAGATATTACAATAATTGATAAATAATATTGTATCAAGTCTTATGTTGATAATCACTCATTATTTAATCAATTTTCGTGGAATAGATAAATGATATCAAAATTGTCTATATTATCCATATCGAAATAAAATTAAGGAGTCATAAAGTCGTCGTATTAATACCTATGATAATTGGGCGATGATTGTTATGAGCTTAAAAAATGAAATTATGTAAACTGAAGAACTGAAAACTTTCGATGTGCGATACATGATATCAGATGAAGGAGAATGAAAATAGGAATGCATTTCTACTGAAATATTCAGGTGTTCCATTTGACAACAAAGTTAATCATTCGAAAATGTCAACATTGGCAGTAAATCACCCTGTACGATAACGCTCAATTATAACTTCATTGATGCGAAGTCGAAGTATCATCGCATAGAAAATTCAAAAACAAAGATCATCTGGCATATTAGAATCAACATTGTAGTTTTTTAAAATAATTCTAATCAATTTGGTAATGCTAACTTGGCAACGCCGCAGAAAAATTACAAAAATAAGACATGGTTGTCTAGACAAGAAAACGAAAAATTAAAATATAGAAAAAATACAGGGTGTTCCATTAAAAAGATTGTTGATTCATGTAGCACCCCGTTCAAAAAACATCCTGTTAATATCGGAATAATTCTGATTCATAGACCTTACGATATTGTACTATATCCTCCAAAATATTTTCTCTCCAAATGACATTAATAGTGGCTTTTTATATGATGAAGTTAACAGGCAGAATAGTTGTACTTTCTCTGTCTAGGCGTACGCCTTGGCTATGAAACGCCAACCGCGGCATTAAATCTTGTGCTTTTGTGCCTAGTAAAACAAATAACTATTTTCTACGGCTAAAATACAAAATTGCTCCTGTTAAATATTATCTGTATCATTATGTTCACCTCCTTCAAGATGAATGGAGATTTGGATTGTGGGAATAACGACAATAAAAGTGGCCCAAATTTTAAAAAATTGTCCTCATTCTCGCTACCCAAATCTCCATTGTTTGTATTGTAGAAGTTGTTTTGAAGACAGGCGTTGCTTTTGGCATGTTTGTTTGTTTCACATAGGTACAAATTATTTAGATCATAAGTAACAAAATAACGGAATATTTCAAATTTGGACAATGCACATATTGCAAAAATACCTGAATGATCTATGTAGAACCTCGAATGTCATGTGGGAAGCAATATTCCCACACTCAAATCAAATTAAGGAACCATGCCTTATAAGTAGCCCTGAGATAAACATAAGGAAGTTACTCAAAACTTGAAAACGCCGCAACCTATTTAGATTTTTTTTTTCAGCGATGAGAAGGCGATTGATGTCGAAATAATTCTGTGATGAAAAATACAGGGGTTCCATTTGAAAAATTCTAATGAACGTCGTCTGAAACTTACAATATTCAGAATGTAAATTTTAGCACCCTGTAGAGGATAATCTCGCAAAATTACTGGATTGGTGCACGTGAGACCTTGCTACTACTGTATGCCAAACATATTTTCAAAATTTCAATAAATGAATATACCATACCCAATTCAACATGACCCATCAATAGTAGTAAAAATGGGTTTATCAATTATAACTTGGCAATGCCGCAACCAAATTCAATTTTCTTCACAGCGATGTAGAGCGGAATAAATTTCGAATGGAAAATACTGGGTGTTCTATTTAAAAAAAACTCGTCTCCGAGTCGTCCCGCTTCTACAAAACACCCAGTGTTGTTGAAAATATTTTCGAAATGGAAACCTTTAGTAACGGAAGGAATTTGTTTTCAAAAGTTTTTCTCTTGTGATAATGGATTTCGAGATATCGAAGAATTACGCACTAAATGGACACTGTATAGTATTTTAGATTCACAATTATTGATTTCAGTACTGATAGTCCTTTTTTCTAGATATGTTTTCAAGAGATTGTTTGCAATACCTCTGATGCCCATTGTGGTCAACTGTATCAAATGATTTTTTTTAGGTCCATAAAAATAGCTACTACATAATTTCCTTGTCAAGTCTGTCTTGTATAAAATTGATTACTTGTAAGACTGCTGACTGTATACCACTTTTCTCTTGAAAACAAACAAATTGATTCAAGTTAAATTATGCTCAAAAAATCAAGGGGGTTATTCTACATGATAAAATAAGAAATTCATTTTATATGTATGTGGGTCCGGAAATGCATAGTTTTCAACTTACAGTGTGTAAAAACTTTTAAAAACATCTTTTTTCTATGAATATCTCAAATGTCCTTCCACTGATTTTCTTGAAATTTAGCAATGCTATTTGTTGTCATAAGGGGCTGATATACCCATAATTCAATTGGAATTATGAAATCCAGTGGCGTTCCGGGGGGCAACCAAATATTATTGTCGATAAAATGTGCGCCACTGATGTTTTTGAAATCTGTATCTTCATAACCTATTGACCAACTAAAAATACAACATTTTGGTCTTCTGAATTATTTTGATAATCTGCTTCATACCCATGGAAAAAAATAATTACCAATTTATTGCATAAATTTGTGCCAAAAAATTCCTTCAAAAACTGGGGTAAAAATAAATGCGTGATCAATGTCCATAGACATAGAATAGGTATGGAGATTCATTTTCTTCAAATATTTCTTGATACTTGTCTATTGACATGGATCAAACATTCAATTTCACCCCTGTTTTTTAAGAAATGTTTTGCACAAATTTATACAATGAATTGGTATTTATTATTTTCCACGGAAACGCAGCAAATCAGCAAAAGAATTCAAGAGACCAAAACAACATTTTTCGTTGATCATTAGGATATGAAGATATAGAATTTAAGAAAATCAGTGGCGCACATTTTATTGACAATAATATTCGGTAGGGTGCCCCCGGGACGCCACTGAATTTCACAATTCAAATTTAAAAAAGGCTGAATCAGCAACTCATGACGAGGAATATCATTGCCATATTTCAAGAGAATCGGTGGAAGGATATTTGAGATATTCATAAAAATCCGATTTTTTCTAAAAAGTTCAACACACTGTATCTTGAAAACTATGCATTTCTGGACCCAAGTATATATGAAATAAATTCCATGTTTTCTCATGCAGAATCACCCCCATGATTTTTTGCGCATAATTTCCGGACACCCTGTATACAGGGTATATCTGAATAACACCGAAAAAATTCAAGGGGTGTTTCCTCGTGATATTCTAGCAAATAAAGTTCATATAAACATGTGTCCTAACTTGCTCCGTTTTTGAGATACAGGATGTTAAAGTTGGAAGTACTATTTGTTTTTATTTATAACCCCCCTGTATAAGCTTCCATGGGTCCAGAATCCAGTATGAATGGAGCCCCAAAATTTCAAAATGATTCTAATTGGGGTGATTGAGTAATCTCATTGGAAGTCTTGAAAACACCAACATTAAAATTTGGAGTCGAATCGATTTTTTATTGTTTCCTCAAGAACTAAGCTAGATACAAAAAGAATAAAAAAGTTGTTATTTCAATAGTTCAATCTGATAAAAATATGAAACTCAGAAAAACCGGTGGTGTACAATGACATTCATCATGAATATCGATGAATTTACCCAATGTGACGCCACTGGAAATATTATTCCGAATTTGATTGCACTAGAAGAAGCTCCATATTACTATTAACAAAACCACAACGAAGTTTATTTCCTAAAATATCACAAGTAATCACCCCTTGAATTTTTTCGGTGTTATTTAGATACACCCTGTAGATGGACCTGTTACAAATGTGTGACTACCATTCCATTTCTCGTTTCCCAGGTAAAATCATCCCTGCCATCGCCACAACCACCTCCGTCGTCGCCGGCCTCGTGTGCCTCGAGCTGTACAAACTGACCAGGAGCATGAAGAGCCTGGAACCCTTCAAGAACGGCTTCGTCAACCTGGCGCTGCCCTTCTTCGGCTTCTCCGAGCCGATCGCCGCGCCCAAGCTGGAGTACTGCGGCAACCAGTGGACCTTGTGGGACCGGTTCGAGGTCCAGGGCGAGATGACGCTGAGCCAGTTCCTGGCCTACTTCAAGGAGAAGCACAGTCTGGAGATCACGATGCTCTCGCAGGGCGTTTGCATGCTGTACTCGTTCTTCATGGCCAAGGCCAAAGCGCAGGAGCGTTTGGGGCTGAACATGTCCGAGGTGGTGAAGAGGGTGTCGAAGAAGAAGCTGGAGTCGCACGTGAAGGCGTTGGTTTTCGAGTTGTGCTGCAATGATGCGGAAGGGGAGGATGTGGAAGTTCCCTATGTGAAGTATAACCTGTGTTGAATCGGGGCAGTTTTTTACAGAACTTTGCTCGTTTCGAATTGAATACAAGCACTTTATTGAGGATATTGTGATTTAAATTATTGATAGTTTGTCGGGTGAGCAGCAGGACTTTTCATCGTTCGTTTTGCAAGAGGGGTTAGCATTTAAATGAGCTGATGCAATATAAATGATATAACAAGTAGAGTTGCTGTTATTTATTGGATATGTAGATCACCAGGTAACAGTTATTATTTTCTTAACTACTTTCATGTGTGGAATTAAATTGAAAATGTTTATGTCTTTTGTTTCGTCATTACTGGGTTAAACAGGGTGATTTATACCAATAAGCGGCGGTAAATGATGCGCTAGTCTGTCAGGTGAAAAGAATACCTACTATTTGTTTTGCATCAAGCCTCTTAATCAGACTTGTTCAAATCTACCTCGGAATTATCGCATCTCGGCACGTGATTTTGGTGAAGTTATAAAATGTGTTTTCTCCATGTAAACATGTATTCTAAATTTCACCCCCTCCAAGCTGCAACCATTGTGAGTTAGGTAAAGGAGAAAGATATTCTGAAATTGTGACTAAAATAATGGATCAAATCATCTGAAAATTGGCAGGCCCCTGTCGTTTTAGACACTTTATTTCATTCTTTCTTCAAAAATTAGGTAAACCCAGTTTGTGTGGGGGTTAGAGGGGGTCCTCACTTTTATTGGCCGAAATGGGGTGCATTTCAGGATACATGTTTATCTAATGAAAAAGTCTTATCTTGATCCCAACAATATGTCCATGAAATATTTACATCGAATTTTGAATCACCCTATATTTCATGAACTGATTGTTTTCCAGATCATGGAGCATCACTCCCTGGTTGCCCCATTATTCCTACCTTATCATTCTCGATTTCCATACACAGCAAATACGAAAATTTGATAGTGATGATTATAATAAACCTTCTTGGACATGTTGTCTGAGCTCTTGAATCAACTATACCATTCAACATTTTCTATCATCTTGAAGCTGATCTAGAGAGAAAGGAGAGGTGACTATGAAGCAGTTCTTCTTGTACTTCAAGGAGAAGCACAATTTGGAGATCACGATGCTCTCGCAGGGCGTTTGCATGCTGTACCGTTACCACCGATAAAACAAGGCCTGCATGCTCCGTGGGTGACGTCACTTAGTCAGGCCTAACCAGCGGCTCGAAACGACAAGCGCTTATAGCGCTATAAGGCGACCGCGTATTTCGATTTTAGTTTTAGATCATTATTGAGCCGATTTTGCTTTTTTTTGATGGGCTTCCGGTTGAAAGAGGGTGCCAGCCGTCAACTGAGCCCTTCTTCGCATCCCATTCGATTTTATTATGGAAAAACGAAGTTTCAAAGCAAAAACCAGAATAAAACACAAATACCCACCTACAGCAACCCATTCGAATTAAATATATTGACAAAAATTGTAGTGATTCAATCTCATTAGAGGTAAACTTCACACCTACTTATACAGGGCACGCAGAACATAAACTTATCATGAGATTGATCGAAAGAAAATTGGTGAAAATGTATTTTAGTTTGATAGACATGCCGTTCGTTATACCTAATTACCTACATTTATCTTGGAGAATTCCTATTACCTAAAAAATTAGCCAGTGAGTGTTTTCAATTTCCTGTTGTTGGATTTTTTACCCCATTGGTCGTTAGACTTGAAACAGTAATTTTTAAGTAGAGTGTTTGTAGTACATGTTAATATAATAGTTGCAATTTGATCATTGGAATGAATTCTGCATTCATTGCCACGAGGCAAATGACCGTTTTCAGAAAGAAATTTGAGAATGTATTGAGTCAGAAACTAAAGAGTCCAATGCATTCGAAATATGTTTCAAAACCCTCTTTTTCTGATTATCAAGACATTTTCCCGAATTATGTATCTCGTTTTTATCTATTTCAATTAGTAATTCCTTGATTTGATTGATATTATTAGAGATAAAAGGTGTTTTCAGATTGGCTTTTAGAGATGTTTGTATCGCTAGGTCATACAAAAATGATTCCACATTCAAAACAAAATCAATCACAACCGAATATGTAATTACGGGCCCTGGAGAATAAGACAATTTGAATAATGTGACTTTTTGCAAATCGATAATTTTGAACCACTTCACTGAAAAGACTCTAATACAACTAGAAATTCTTGAAATTCTGTGTAGCAAAATGATTTTTGGTAATTTTGATTTTTGGTAATTTTCGAATTCAGTTTTACTTTTGGTAATTGCTTGTGCCAAATTTTTAGTCTCTAGTATCTCAAGTTTGTCATCACGACTTGTGCGTAATTTTACATCTTTCGATAAATAAGATGGACAGTTGGGAAATTGAGTGGGAATAACATCTCGTTTGAGCCTAGGAATTTTCAAATCTATTACAGTTTTGCCAGTTTTTGAATCGGTTGCAGAGTAGATGAAGTGATAATATCATCTTTAGTAAAATGTAATTCACATACTTTACTGTACAGGGTATCCCAATTTGGGCACTTTTGCGGGGTATCTCCCTTATCAGTAAAGATAGAGCATTGCGGTTTTCGCGACAGTGTGCTACTTTTTTATGAAATTAATAATGGCGCAAGCAGAATTGTGGTAGCTCTTCCGGTTGTCTAGATACAGGGTGGAATTGAAAAATATCACCCCCCGTGTCTCAGTTATCTTTGAACTTATCGAAGAAGTTAAAACTTGTTTTTATAGAGTTTTTCTCGTAGAATCCAGTGGCACAGTTATTTTTTTGCTAGCACCTTTTGTTTTTTAGTTATGGAGCAAACATATGTTTTTTCAAATGGAAAATAATTGTATACAATTATATATTTTTGGAAAGCCCACTTTATGCTCAATGTATATATGAAATAATATACAGGGTGTTCCATTTGAAAAAACATATGTCTGCTCCATAACTAGAAAACAAAAGGTGCTAGCAAAAAAATAACTACGCCACTGGATTCTACGAGAAAAACTCTATAAAAACAAGTTTTAACTTCTCCGATGAGTTCAAAGATAACTGAGACACGGAGGGTGCCTGAAAAGTGATATTTTTCAATTCCACCCTGTATCTCGACAACCGGAAGAGCTATCACAATTCTGCTTGCGCCATTATTAATTTCATAAAAAAGTAGCACACTGTCGCGAAAACCGCAATGCTCTATCTTTACTGATAAGGGAGATACCCCGCAAAAGTGCCCAAATTGGGATACCCTGTACTTAGATGGAGTCGTAAAATCCTTGCGGTGAATTGCCCACTTTTTCGATAGTTCCTTGTCCAACGGGAAACTAAAAGCATGAACTTTTGGACCACCCACATAATTCCCCCGACAAAAGGGAACATAACATTTGTAAGGCATTGTTATTTCGCCTATCACAACATGAAATATTTCACAAAACAGTAATTTCTCCGCCAATTATTTTGATGAATAAACAACAAGAGAATTCAAGCACACGCGATTTACCTACGCCACCGTTCTTAAACAAAAACAAACTGACGATCGATCGACGCGAATGCCTTGGAAGATGGCCTGAGTATGCGACGTCACGAGCTGTTTACGTCAGAGTCTGCTGGCCTTGTTTTATCGGTGGTAACGGCTGTACTCGTTCTTCATGGCGAAGGCCAAAGCTGAACATGTCCGAGGAGAAGGCTATATGGAATAGGTCCATTATCCTTTTTCATTACTCTATTACTATTCTTAAATATCTCTAAGCTTTCTGAAAGCTCTAAATAGTTTAGTAATATAAAAATTAAGATTAACATGTGAACTCAACCATGACAAACATTAACTTGATGATCAGTATTTTTCACGGTTGGATGAACATATACCTAGTATATAAGCAGTACACTAGAATAGGATATTTAATTTTAATCTTTTCCTGAAGAGAAGAAGAAGAACATAGTTAGCGAAATGCGTGACGAGGCGTTTAAAAAATCGGTTTGGTTAGTGGTAAAACAGTGTAGTGTATTATTGTGCCAAAGGTTCCAGTCTTTGATATAACATAATTGAGAATTTATGCATTATTGAATTACTAATATTTTTGAAATTCCCAATCGTATTTTAACATATGGCAACTGTGCTATGGTCTGTCCCTACTCACAAAATCGTGACGTCAGTTTTTACTCGCGGAAAATTTCAAGCCTATTGAAAAATATTGATGATAGTATGATAGTATGTCGGGTGAGCAGCAAGACCTTCGATCGTTCGTTGTGCCAGTAACTACTGTCATGTGTGGAATTGGAGTGAAAATGTTTTTGTTTTGACTTTACTGGGGAAAACAACATGATTTATATCGAGAATGAAGGAATAATGATGCGATAGTCTTTCACGTGAGTCTCTTTCAAAATTTGTGAAATATGTGGTAAGGAATCATCAAAACCTGCGAAGATAAGCCACTTGAATCAGTCTTGTTCTCGAATTCACCTTGGAATTATCGCATCTCGGTAGGAGAGAAAGAGAGAGAAGAGATGCCTCTTAGCCAGATCTTTTACTTCAAGGAAAAGCACAATTTTGGATGATAACAAATTACTTTGGAATCACGCTTGAAATTCTTGAGTGTGGAGAATTCGATGATAGTAAATAATTTCGTTGGTCAACTGTCGATCCCTTTTTGGATTTGTCCTCTCTGAAGAACGCGTCCAAGCATTGCAGGGCGCGTTCTTCAGATAGGAATAGGAGAGTGGACGGCGAAAACTTGCGGAAATGTACGAATTATCTTTTTCGATTCATAACTCCTGAAATTATCTATCTGAAACGTGTCTTGCCGTGGCAGTTCCTAGGAAAACAACGTCACAGGCGATTTATTTTTGTAGTACGAGTGATGGCTACCAAAACCATGTTTCATAGCAGCCCGGCCATAACCGTGTAAAATCTATAGATAACATGACCCTGGCCTAGAGCCGACTGGTTGAGTAGTAAATCTCAGCTAAGTGCAGCATCATGGCGGAGGGCATTTCTGATGTGTAAAAAATGACATTGAAATTGAAAATGTTCATAGATATAATCACTAAAATTTGTGCTTTTATTGTCAAAAGTAGCACTTCGATAGGCTACTGCTCCGTCATTTTTCGAAATTTCGAATTTTCGACCACAGATCCTTTCATCACGGCCTCGAATTAGTGTGTGTGTGAATTTTTTCGGATTTTTGAAAGGCCTAACAAAATTTTGCATTTTCATAAATAACACTTATTTCATTCGTACGAGTACGAGTTTCGTACGCGAGTACAGCCCCTTCTTCGGATGCAAGAAAATCTCGGAAAAACGTGGAAATCCACGCGAAATCATGGTTTTCCAGTAGAAAACAACACGCTGAATTGATTGAG